TTCAGATGCGAACGATGACAGTCAAGAAGGATTGGGTGAGAGAAACGCAGAATGTGTTCTAATCAGGCATTTTCCGCCCAACATCTCCTTTTGGTACCCATATTCTTTGAGTACGGATGTTACTGGCCACCTGGGAAAGTGAGCCACCGGACAAGATTAGATGGTTACCATGATATAAGAAATGATATGATGCGATACAAGTTTTATGGCACAGCCCGATTCTAGAGAGTAACGACACACATTACATTTTCTATCAAAACTCTACGAAATAAACTAGAGCGAGCTAAGAACAGACATGTGGATAGATAAGCACACCCCCACAACTAGCCCGCTTCGCAACCGCGCGCGTCCCGTTTTGCTCTCTTTGTAATTGGCAAGAAAGGCAGACTGAGATTCTCGGAGCGATATTTTTTTACTGTATGTGTGAACATAATATTAGATAAACTCAATAATTGAGAAAGGGAACTGCCTTATCCAGAACAGGATGAATGTCATCTCCCTTTCCCTTAGAGACGAGAGTTTCTTACAGCCTCATCTTGAATGAGGCTTATAGCAGCAGTGATGGCTGGAGAAACGGATGACTCTCTGATACACAGTAGCGAGGAACTTTATTGAGTAAAGAGAAGGAAATGGGAAAAGGGGGAGGAAAAGCTCCACCAATTCTCTGGATTTATTCGCATATCCAGTCTTGCAGTCTGAAAATGCAAACGAAACTGGGATTATCCATGAGCTGCCCAAATCGTAGCTTCATACCGTGCTCTTTCAACTTGCAGTAAACCAAATATGCACGATTAAGCCCACATAGAAAGGGTGTTGCAATGAGATTCCGTTGAGTTTGCCCTGGAAATGGTACTAATCGTATAATGCGATTCTCGACACCGATGTCACGTCATCGAATCGCACTATCACCCTCGTCCAGAGCTGATAGCGACAACGATTAACGGTTTTTCCATGGGAGCTTGTCACGGTGCCATGCGATCGGCACAACCCGATTAACATAACCAGACCGGTAGTCTCGTATAAAAACATCTACACAACTCTCGAGGTTAATCTACCAACGAGGCGGCCAACCCACTCAATCCCTCGATACTGCCCCGATTCGTGTGCCTATAACGATTTAGCTCCCAATTCCGACACATAAGACAATTCACCGTCTGTTTACACTACCATCATAGATCTCTCCACTCGATAGGTGAGTAATATGAGACTTTCGTTGCACGTAGAGATGACTGGAAGGCTCCGAAGTACAAGGCGAAATGCCTTTTTGATATTTCCTTGAAATGTTTTTTATCAGAACGTTCCAACACGATCCTTTATTTGATGAGCATTGAATTATTGTGAAAAGTTGTCAAAAGCATCAATGTTTTTCGTCCGTCGAAAACCTAACAATAGCTGAGCGTGGTGCCGAACGGTCTCATGTTCCATTGTGTGTGATCCCCCAAGTGCTGCGCCTCGCCAACCTCACTACACTCTCTCCTCAAGCACAGTAATATTTGCTCTTTCGTTCAATTCAGAATGTCCCGGTTCCTTTATAAAAGCACTTCGTGTTCTGGATTCCACCTCTGGATTGCTTGTTCAGCCGGTTAGGTGTCAACAGTTATTCCCCGGCCACCATCGGCGATACATATTAGCCGTTCCGGATCATTTACTCCTTTCCTTTTTTGGTCTGACTCTTTGATCAAAGGCTGTCCTTCGAATAACTAATACATTGTGCCAAGTAGAAGGTCTAGTGAAGTGTGCCCTGTGCCAAAGACCAACTAAGAACCAACCCAATAGAATTTTTCTCCATCACAGCTAATTCAACAAGATACTGTGTCGTTGCAATTGTCCAACTCGATCAACCTGTTCCTGCGCTTTTCAAGATCAGAAAACGGTCAAAATTAATAATGGGCAACGATTAATTAGAAAAAGAACTTTCACTGGTTGAGGATGTGTCTTTCTTCAAAATTATCATCGCTTGGGATACTCTGCTTCTTGATATTATCGAGAGAATTCCACATGCACGGCGTAATCTCCAGTCCTAAACCTCAAGCATAGCTGCGATCTCCTTTGTCAAAACAAAAAAGAGCCTCTTCCAGCCTCCTTGCTTATATCTAACCTCCTGATGATACCTTTTCGTTCAGAACTCTCACACACCATTGATTGTGAGAGTCATCTCTCTCAACTCTCGTCTATCTTTTCATCTCTCTTCCATTATCTCTCGCTCATCTCTATTCGCCTTTCGTCTCCTAGTTTTCAACGGTCTATTGGAGTTTTTTATCCTATAACGATTTTTTACATGTGTACCCTTGTTGATGAGTAATTTACGTGTTGTTACGTGATAGTGCAACCCAGCGATAGTTAAAATGAAGAGCGGGTGACAGACAGGTTGACAGACAGACGGATAGACACCGCAGACAGCCAGATGGCTAGGTAGCTATTAGAGATGGATGGATAAATCAATGTTACCATATGATTTATGAAATCAAAAAACCTCAGAGCACTCGTAATAGTTATAACAGCAATGGCGATAATATTAAGAATAGTAATCGTATCAGTATCAATAATGATAACATCAATAAAATAAGACAAGAATTTTTCCGACAAAAATATGATTCGAAGTTTGTTAGGCACCTCACTTTCTGTCGAAAAGAAATAAGGAAAGATAACAACATCAAAATAGTAATAACAATAATACTACTAATAGTGATAACATTAGTCATAATAATAATAATATTAATGATAATGATAGCAGCGGCAGCAGTAGTTTTTAAAATATTGGTAATTAAAGAGATAATTTAAAAAATAAAAAATATTAATGTCAAAAATGACAATAATAATCCTTATGGACTTTAGTGTCGTGTACTGTCGTGGAAAAACAACAGTTAACAAGAACAACAAGTTAAAACAAGTTATTCTAATAATGATATGACATAAAGAATAATAATAAAAATAAATAATAATAATGGTATTAACAAAAATTGGAATAATAATATAATGTAATCAATGTTAGGATAATAGAAATAATAATAATAGCGTTAAAATTAATAAAAACTGATGAGAATATTCTCGTCAATCACTATATTTCGCATATTCTATTGAAGCTGTTTTGATTTTTGATGTCACCAATGAAATCAATAACAAATTATCACTTAAATAAGATAGATTACCACTTATTATCATACAGTAACACCGTAAACGAAAATAAAAAAATTGCAAAAAAATGGATGCAGTCAAGAATCAATACGCTCAAGAAGTGACCCTTTTCTAATTTCATTCGGATCCCGGTCATCGACGTAGGTCATCGGTCAGGTCATCTTCATTTTGACCACAGTTATCATATAGGACAGTAATAATAAAAAAAAANAAAAAAAAAGTTTTAGTAGAATAAGCGGAATGTAATAATAATAATGATGACTATGACAGATTTGAAAAATATCATAGTTGCAGACACATCCCATTTCAGAGATTGGGCGGAAGGAAGCCTTTCATCAGAAAACAAGCGGATCAAAAACTCGCCCGATTACCTTAGTTGGGTTTAGTTAGAGTTCAGAAGGAGTTTTCAACGAAGCTAAATTCATGGCTTACCCCAGAAAAATCAATTGCCACCAAAAACCCTTTGTCATTTCTATCTCGAGAATGTTTTGCAGGCACATATAGAAGAGCTGTTGAGCTGCACATGTACATATTTTTGGTCTATGTCCAAAATATTATCGGACAAATGATCCAGAAGTCCTTCAAAAATTCTGGCCCTCTCCTGAAGGGGTAAATATAGTGGGTTATACAAAAGACTGTGGTCGGTTGCCACCACTGATGACTCACCCTTTCCCGAACCGGATAATCCCTTGCGACCGTTTGAACCCGGCAGTTTTGCTCGGGACACCATGAAAAACCAGTAATAATAATGAGCACAGTGGAATACTAGAATAGAAATTAATAATGCGCCATATTTTCTCATCGACAGAAAGTAAGCCACTTTCATACCTTTGAACCAACATTTTTATTAAGAAATTTCCTATACCTGTATCAGTGTAAGCAGCCCTTAACCCATTACGTCATCGTGATTTTCATTCTTTCATTTTGGTCCCAAACGGAGAAAATGTTCTGGGTGGTAATTTGTTTGTGCAGAGCAATAGAGCTCAGTCCAAGGCTCAACCGCTAGGATACTCTGGTTAAGATTAAAATTTTCGGAATGAGAGGTCTGAATATTGCTCGTTATAAGACAACCTAATGCCGACAATTGTATCAATCACTTCCGCAATCCAAGAGGACAGTATCAGACATGGCTCACTCCAATTCCTCTCGAAGTTCGTCAAGAATTGAAGATTTTCTGGCAAAAATGGATGGATGCTAATAGAAAAACAATAGTTCGAGCATTCATGATGCTGTCATTCATATGTGATATTCAAATGAATTGCGCGATTGTGTGAATCTGATTACATGGCTTATCCTCAGCACAACACCAACTTTGCAGTTTTCGTCTTTTTCTGTGCTCATCATCAAGTTAGATACTTCCTATGTTGTTAAAGAAAAGCTGTCCTATCCATTTGCTGAATAAACAATCAATAATTGCATATACCACTCATTTGCACCTAGTGTGAAGTCCCGCCCATTTTGCTGCACCTTTCGCCTACTATTTATATCTTCGAGAAATTCGTTTTTTTNTTTTTTTCAGATTCGAGATGTCTTTTGCGCCTGTGCTACTCTCAATAGCCATTATGTCAATGCTTGTTGGTGCGTGTCGGAGTAAGTCTCACTAACCGATGCACTGAACGATTCCGCCTTGCTTTCTGGCTGACCCCCTTGGTCCCTAATACTTTCCAGCTTTCGGCATTCACTTCCTTGAATTAACTGCCTGTCAAACTCACACCCACAGAGCCTTAAGATGATGTTCACTGCGTCTGACAGCAAAGCGGAACGTTGAAAGATTGGATAGTGAATAGCGAGCACTCACACTCGGTTTGTAACTACCGGCTCTTCACCGATGGTTGCGACTTTCCATAGTTTCAGACTTGCCGGCGATGCAGTACGTCGGAGCCCGAGCTTACATACTGCAACAACGAATGGAGTGTCGTGGTGGGAAGGTGTACGACATTGATAATGTGCGGGTAAGGCTAAGGAATTCACGATCAACTCGCTTTGTGACCCTGATTAGATTTTTTTCCGCTCTCG